ATACATGCCAGTTACATATATATCTACCTTATTTTTTTTTAAGATTTTATTTATTTATTTTTAGAGAGGGAAGGGAGGGAGAAAGAGAGAGAGAAACATCAATGTGTGGTTGCTGGGGGCCATGGACTGCAACCCAGGCATGTGCCCTGACTGGGAATTGAACCTGCGATGCTTTGGTTCGCAGCCCGTGCTCAACCCACTGAGCTACGCCAACCAGGGTTTACCTTGTTCTTTTTAAAAATTATTTTATTTCTTTCTTTTCAGAGAGGGGAAAGGAGGGAGAAAGAGAGGGAAACATCAATGTGTGGTTGCCTCTCGAGTGCCCCCTACTGGAGACCTGGTCTAGAACCCAGGCATGTGCCCTGACTGGGAATTGAACTCGTGACCTTTTGGTTCACAGGCTGGCATTCAATCCACTGAGCCACACTAGACAGGGCTACCTTATTCTTTCTAATGGCCTTATAAGTACTTTAGTGTATTGATGCACCAGAGTTCTTTATACTCTACTGAACCATGGAAGTTTCAAATTTTTTGCCATGATGAACAGTGCACTTCTTTATATACCCATCTATACACTCTTGTGTGAATATTTCTGTTGAAAAATTCCTAGAAGTGGAATTACTATGTCAAAGTCATGAGTCTTAATTTTTATATTATATTGCCAGACTACTTCAAAAAGGTTGTACATATTTATTGTTACACAAACCACGTATGAGACTTTTCTAGAGTAGCCCTCTGTCTCCGCCACTTCAGCTGGAAGACCAACTCGAGGAGTGGTTGGGGAAGACATTGCCCGGCAGTGACTGGACACCCAATGCCCGGTTCATCATTCGTTCTTGGCTTCGGGATGGCCTCAAGCCACGCTGCATAACCCGAGACCTCAAATGGGGAACCCCTGTACCTTTAGAAGGTTATGAGGACAAGGTAAGAATCCCATGCTTTGCTCACATCTTGTATTATTCAGCCTTGGGTTGAGACCCTGGGCTAGCAGAATGCACTGTTGACTATGTGTCTTGTTTCATTCTGAGACTTTGGGTTGGTGAGGTTTTCCCAATTTTTTTAAACTAAATTTTTGGGGGTTACATAGGTCAATAAAATTATATAGGTTTCAAGTGTATCTCTAATGCTTTTTTTGTCCTCCTATGCCTCTCTCCTCTTGACCATCCAGGTATTCTATGTCTGGTTTGACGCCACTTTTGGATACCTGTCCATCACTGCCAACTACACAGATCAATGGGAGAGATGGTGGAAGAACCCAGAGCAAGTAAGCAGTTCTTGGTTAGCCTGTCTATGGGGATGGTGCATGCATGTGTATGTGGTGGAGGGGAGGTGGTGTTAGGGTTGGGTATCTAATCTTTCTTTGGTCTTTGAAGGTGGTCTCAGAAGCTCTCCTTCCAACTGTGTTCTATAGGTGAACCTCTATCAGTTCATGGCTAAAGACAATGTTCCCTTCCATGGCTTAGTCTTTCCTTGTTCAGCCCTAGGAGCTGAGGACAACTACACATTGGTCAGCCATCTCATTGCTACAGGTACCCTGGAAGACTAGACTAGGCATATTCCTAGGGAATGAGGGCTGAGGCAATACTTGGAAGATTTTAGAAAGGTGGTAGGTCTTGTGTTAGGAATTGAGATGAGATAGGAAATAATTTAAACATAAGAACTCAACCCAGAAGGAAACAAGAACCTGAAGAAAGCAAGAGTCCAAAGCTAAAACTTTGTAATGGGTAGAAGCCAAGTGGGGAAAGGCCAGAATGGAGAGGCAAGATATCTCAAGTTCTCTGCAGGCCAGCTACTTAAGAAGTGTTGCTGGACACCCACAGTTGAGTTCCAAGAAGAAAGGAGAGTTAGTAGGTCAGAGAGGGAAGAATGTGACTTGAGCAGATGGTTCTCTCATTCTCCTTCTCTATCCAGAGTATTTGAATTACGAGGATGGAAAATTCTCAAAGAGCCGGGGTGTAGGAGTGTTTGGGGACATGGCCCAGGACACAGGGATCCCTGCTGACATCTGGCGCTTCTATCTGCTATACATTCGGCCTGAAGGCCAGGACAGTGCCTTCTCATGGACAGATATGTTACTAAAGAATAATTCTGAGCTGCTTAACAACCTAGGCAACTTCATCAATAGGTAGGACTTGGTGAGGGATCATCCAGCAGATGAGCTGGGGTGGGGCTAACTCTGCTCCACGAAGTTGGAGAGATGAGAATGCAGAGCTGCCTAGTGAATGGGCAGGAGGCTGGGAGGGATGCATAGGACCACGTGGAAAGTGGATTTCTATTAATTGAGACTTGCTCCTGGAACATAGTAGGCTATGTATGCTTGGGAGAAGTTGGTTGTAGAGATGTGATTTAGCAAAGTTGGTCACATAGTTTTGCAAGTTGTTCTCTTTTAATGTTATGTGTAGAATTAGAATTGTGTTCTCACAAAAATAGTTCAGTTGCAGACTGTTGAAAAGTTTGGCTGAAGAAAGGTTTTATTTTAGTGTAGGGGTAGGAAGCTTATGCTGTACTCTTTGGAATTGTTACTTTAGCTCACATTTCATTTTTGGTCCCTACATTAGCTACTCTGTGATCTAAAGAAATATCCATGCCCTGGCCAGTGTGGCTCAGTGGACTGAGTGCTGGTCTGCAAACCAAAGGGTCACCAGTTCAATTCCCAGTCAGGGCACATGCCTGGGTTGCAGGCCAGATCCCCAGTAGGGGGCATGGGAGAGGCAATCACACATTGATGTTTCTCTCCCTCTTTCTCTAAAAATAAATAAAATCTTTAAAAACAAAAAAGAAATATCCTTCATGGCTACCTATCCTTTCAGATTTGGTCATTAACTGCATTTAACAGATAGTCCCTATTAGAGTATTTAATGACTTACATGTATTTCAACTTGATCATTCTGAGTGTTGATTTTTAAAAAATAAAATGGTTACTTAATCAGGTTTCTTTAGAAAAGGGATATCTGTATGTGAACTGTCTATTTTGTTCCTGTGCAGAGCCACATTCTTAGGGGAGAGAATGAGGAATTACTTGGTTAAGCTTTGCCTTGCAACTTGAGAGAGTCAGGAGGTATCAGTTCCAAGACAATGTGGAAGTATGTATGAAAATCAGGTCAAATTTCTATAAGGAGACTGGAAAATAACTCCTCTTTTTCTCCCCCCCTCCTTTCCTACTCCTGTCAAGAGCTGGGATGTTTGTTTCTAAGTTTTTTGGGGGTTCTGTGCCCGAGATGGTGCTTACCTCTGATGATCAGCGCCTGCTGGCCCATGTCACCCTGGAGCTCCAGCACTATCACCAGCTGCTAGAGAAGGTTCGGTAAGTAACCTACACCCATTTCATCTCAGTGACCTGCTAGCATGTTGGGAGCCCCATACTAGTCCCTCCAGGACCTTACACCTTGGCCTGCCTCCCCCCTTTCCCAGGATCCGGGATGCCTTACGCAGTATCCTTACCATCTCTCGTCATGGCAACCAGTACATTCAGGTGAATGAACCCTGGAAGCGGATTAAAGGCAGCGAGGCTGACAGGTAAGGAGGTAGGATTGGCTACAGGGATCAAGTATCTGGTAGGCTGTGTCCTCTTGGAGGTCCTGACTAGTATCTCTTTTTCCCTAGGCAGCGGGCAGGGACAGTGACAGGCTTGGCAGTGAATATAGCTGCTCTGCTGTCCATCATGCTCCAGCCATATATGCCCACAGTGAGCTCTACCATCTCGGCCCAGCTGCAGCTCCCACCTCTTGCTTGCAGTGTCCTGCCCACAGACTTCCTGTGCACCTTACCAGCAGGACATCACATTGGCACAGTAGGTCTCTGAGGATCAGAAGAGCCAGTCTCTTAAAATTCCAAAGGCAACATTTGTCATGCTACCTTTGGGGAGGGCCAGAGAACTTACTTAGGCATGGGATTCTCACAGCTATTCTCTGAAACCCTTCTGCACTCATTCCCATTCTACATTGGGGCTTGTTTCTGATATATCGACTCACAAGCCCAGTGTTTTCTGTTGCCCGTATTTCCTCATCGTCCTTCATGCCAGAACCAAAGAGCTGGCACATGTAACTGATACACAGATGTTTGAAGTGATACCATGGTCACCTGGTCTCCATAATGCTGACAGGCAGTTTAGTCTTGAACTCTGTTAATACTTTGGATTTTCATAGTGACTGTCAGGGTTTTTTCTGGATTCTTTACTGAAATCAGCAGGTATTTGTTCAGTGTTACATTCACATTCCTGCTAAAGATTGAGTCCCTCAGTGTCAGTGATTGGGGTTGGAGAGGCCCTCTGCATAGTCTAGTAGAGTTTATACCTAATCAGTGAATGATTCTGGAACTTTTTTTTATAGGTCAGTCCCTTGTTCCAAAAATTGGAAAATGACCAGATTGAAAGTTTGAGGCAGCGCTTCGGTGGGGGCCAGGTGAGAAAGCTAGGCTGTGCTCTCAGCCAGCAACAGCCAGTGTCATCTCCTTGGTGTCCTTAAGTGGTCCTGCCTTATCACTCTTTCCATCTTTGGCCCTCTACTTCCTCACTTATAGTTTTTCTTTCCTGTCTTAGATGGAAGAGTCCTTGGCATTAAAGGTAATCACTTTCTCTGAGATGTTACATAAAACTTGAGGTCAAGAGATATTTATGGTAGCAGGTGATAACTCTGTTGTTTTCCAGGCAAAAGTGTTCCCCAAGCCAGCAGCTGTAGAGACTGTGACAACAGCTGGACCACAGCAAATACAAGAGCTGATGGATGAAGTGACAAAACAGGTATGAAGCTTGAACCCTGTGGGTGAGACTAGAAAACCTGAACCCTACACAGGTCCTTTCTGGTCTTACTGTTGTTATTCCCTCACCCCCTCCCTCTTCTTTTAGGGCAACATTGTCCGAGAACTGAAAGCACAAAAGGCAGACAAGAACCAGGTTGCTGCAGAGGTGGCTAAACTCTTGGATCTGAAAAAGCAGTTGGCTCTAGCTGAGGGGAAACCCCTTGAAACCCCTAAAGGCAAGAAGAAAAAGTGAAAGTGAGAACTTGGCTCATAGAGTCACTTTAATGAATATGGGCAGTAATAAATAAATGTACAATCTCTATATACATGCCAAGATCCTTTCTTGTTGTCTACCCCGAGCTTTCCCCCTATTGTAAGTATGGAGTTGAGGGTCACATCACTGACACTAGTGAGAAGGTGGTTAGTAGCCATGTCTGGGAAAGGATGGTACTGGCCTGAGGGGGAAGTAAACAGTCCCAAGTGTTCATACTTGGTGCAGATTGACCATTCGGTCAATTAGAGCTCGGCGAGTTGCCTCCACTTCTCTGGTCAGGCGCTCGATTTCCTGCTTGAGCCGTTCATTCTCTTCAGCTAGCTGTGCCGCTTTCCTTTCATTTTCTTGCTCTTTATCCTTCATACGTTGCTTTCCAGCCTGGGCTGGGGACTGACCACTTCGTTTCCGTTTCCTGGATATTCCTTGGTCTTCTTCTCCCTCCTCCTGAGCCAGGGAGCTCTGAGTGGAATCCGGAGAGCAAGGGCTCTGGGAGATGCCTGTGACTTCTGCTGGTCCTGGTTCCTCAGTCAGCCAAGTTAGAGAGGCAGGGTCAAGAGTGGTGAAGGTTTTTGATTCTTCCTTTAAGGGAATAAGGAAAGGTAGGCACTTTTAGTTGAGAAGGGAAGATCAGCACCCCACCCCTGGACTTAGGTGTAACATTCTTACCTCCTCATTTCCAGGGGGTGAGACATAGGCACCTGCATTTTCATCTGAGGACAACACTTCCTGCAGGTCCTCATACCATGCTTCCAGTTCCCAGCTGGACAGTGTCCCGAAGGAGAAAGGCAAAGACTCGGCTGCCATCACTGCAGCTGTATCAAGCTCTGGAAAAGGATATACTCGGGATAGTGGGGGGGATTGGGGGATGGAACAAACACCTCAAAGCAGTCAAACAGTGTGTACCACAGGTTGGCAAACTGGCTTGCTGTCTGTTTTGCAGTAAAGTTTTATTAGAACACAGCTACATCAATTGATTTACATATTTTTGATGGCTACTTTTATGCTACAACACTGGAGATGAATAGTTGTGATGGCAACTGTGTGGCCCTCTGTATCTAAGATATTTACTATCTGGCCCTTTAAAATTTACTAACCCCTGGTCTATATTAATATTCCCTCCTTGCTTTTGCCCCACACTTGAAGCAGCAAGTGCCTAGATATACATTCTTATGGGATCCTGGTAAGTTAGCCACCCCAAGGAACTCCGTTGGTAGTTTCCAGGAGTAATTACCATGCCATTTGTGCTTCTTTCTCTTGTGTGGAGAGTCCTATGGGTTAGTCTAACCTTGATGGAGATTGAAGTGTAGTAAGACACCAATTATCTTTGTTGGGGCCAATGCTTACTCAGAGCCAGCTTTCAATTAGGATATGCTCTAAGAATAGAGATTTGGTCCTTGTTACAGGCAGGCCAGGTGGATGGACAGCAAAAGCCTGCTAAGATTCAAACCCTCCTCTTTTATCTTCTCTAGGTGTTTTCATAGCTTCTTAGGGTCCCAGTAAAGCAAGCCTAACCAGCATCTCTTAAGAGGTGGTTTTGGGAAAGGGTTGGTAAGTTTACCTGCTTTCAGGTATGGTGATATATGAAGATACACTTCCTCCTGGAACACTGTGGGGATAAAAAATATGTATGTTAGCCATTTTTGGAAGGGGGATGGAGAGGTTCTTTTACTTTTATCTTCAGCCTCCTATTGATCCTTCCTTACTTCCTGTCTTACAGAGTATGTATAGTTAACAGTCCCTGTGGTCATTTCCAAGGACAGAGGAGAGCCTAATTTCCATTATTTTTAGCTGCTGACATTTGTAGTCTGGATTACATAATAGGAAAGCCCTGGCCCTTTCAGCTTTCTCTAAATTCAAGGCAGGCCTCAAACTGGCCAGGGTAAGGACTATACCACAGGGAAGGGAACAAATCAAGTGACATTTTCCTAATTCCATTCTCGCACTGACATCCTCTAAATGTACATTGCCAGTATGGACCTCCAACTCTGTTACCTGTTTACTTGCCATCTCCTTTGGGTGTCTAATTGGCATCTCAGACTTCATATGGCCAAAAACAAAATCCTAATCTTCCCCTTCCAAAGTTTTCCCCATCTGGTAAATGACAAGTCTAGTTGCTTCAGCCAAAAACCTTGGTATCTTAATCTTCATTGATTCCTCTCCTCTTACACCTCACAATCCAATCCAAACCACCAGCAAAATTTCTTAACTCATTCTCCAGAAACCCAGAATCTAAATATTTCTCAACAATTCCACTGTTATCAAGTTACTAGCTCTTTTGGATGACTGCAGAAGGTCTCACAGTTTCTGCTCTTGCCACCCCTCCCTGAGTCTATTCACAACACAGCAGCCAAAGTAGGCTTTTTAAAACTTAAGTCAGGCCCTGTCATTCTGTTCAAAACCATCCAATGACTTCCAATTTCACACATATTAAAGGCTAACATCCTGCTCTGGCTGGTGTGGCTCAGTGGATTGAGTGTCGGCCTGTGAACCAAAAGGTCGCCAGTTTAACTCCCAGTCACAACACATGCTTGGGTTGTGGGCCAGGTCTCCAGTTGGGGCATGAGAGAGGCAAATGATAGATGTTTCCCTCCCTCTCTTTCTCCCTCCCTTTCCTTCTCTCTAAAAAATAAATAAAATATTTTTTTAAAGGCTAATATCTTTAAAATGGCTTAAAAGGCCCACACAGTCTGCTCCTTCTCTGCCCTGGATTTCTCATTGACCACTCTCTCTCTTGCTCACCCTGGTCCAGCCAATTGGCTTTCTGTTCCCTAAAGATACTATGCATGCTCCCACCTTAGAACCTCTATTCTTGCTGTTCCTTCTCCTGTAAAACTCTTCCTTCCACATACTTGCATGGCTTACTGCTTCACCTCTTTTAGGTCTTTCATTTAATGGTCATCTCTGTGAGGGAATCCCTGATCACCCAATGTAAAACTGTAACCCCCACTCAAAGTATTCTCTACCCTTCCATTCATTAGTTTTCTCTATGGTGCTTCTCTGATTACTGTATGCCTCTTCCCACTGAACTGTAAGCTCTGTGAGGGCATATATTTTTCCCCTCTTGTTCATGGATGTATTCTGGGCCCCAAACTGCACTTAGTAGGTTCCTGTTAGGAATGAGTGGATAAATTCTCCCCAATTTCTCTTACAGGGAAGGGAGGGTGAAGTCCAGAGCAGAGCAGCAGCTGCTTATCCCTGGGGACTGTAGATGCAATATCGCCCCAAGTGTTTCTCTGCAGGACTGTCCTCCCTGGGGAAACTTCCTTGCCTTCCAGTGCCTGGAACGGGGCTTTCATCAGCAGTGGAGCCCCAGGCCAGAGGGCTGTACAGCCAAACGGGGGCTGGCCTGATGCAATGATTACACAGAGATAGTTGGAGACAGGACAGAGGAAAAGATACAGGGACCAATCTCAAGAGAAGGACAATACTCTGGAGAGACTCCAAATGACTTCCCACACTTAAGAAATCCAAGATGCTCTCTTGTGCAGGAGGCCCACGGACCTCTGGGATACAGGAAAAAACCCATCTCCTTTCCCTGTCCATGGGCACTCGGCCTCTAAAAGGCTGTGTCATTCTCCTGAAGGTTCTGTCCACTGCTCGAGTTCAGCATGGCTGTCCTGTGTAGGTTCACGAACCCCAGCTACGGTTGTAGCCATCCTGGCACAGAGACGCTGCCTCCGATACAGGACTGGGGGTGGGGTTGCTGGTAGCCGAGCCCAGGCAGCGGCCTAATCGGCGGTCTAACAGGCTTCTAGGGAGTGGGGGTGTGTCTTGCTGCTCCACCTCCCACCACATAGGCCTAACAAGGAGGCCTGAGATAAGCAACAATAGAGAATATAATAAATCTCCCAAGAGCAGCCAGGCCCCTTTGCTCCAGGCAGGGGTGGGGTGACGCTGTCGTCCGAAGGAAGCAGAGCCTGTAACACCTCTCCCGAATAAAGGATCTCGCCATCTCTCCCTCGGACCGTCGCTAACTTCATTATAGAGGTGGTGCCACATCCTAAAGAACGGATGCCCGACTTTGAGCCGACAACGTCGCGAAGACCAAAGGGTAAAAGGTAGATGGGCGATCGATACTCACCTCCCTCCTCAGATTCCAGCTCTGATTTTGGCTCCGTCGCTGCCACCCGCTCATTTTCAACATTATAACCACTGTGTCTTAGACTCCAGCCTCTGACCTCGGTATCCCAGAGCAGTGATCTTTTAACAGGGCCTTGCCCTCCTCTCAGGGGCGGATCCAGAAGCCAACTAATCAGAAAGCGGCACGCCGGAGTTGGCCCCGCCTCACCCTTACAACCGCCACTCAGGAGCCGCGCGATACCTCCCCATAGCTCCCTCCTTCCTGGGGGTCGAGGTCTCGCTGGACCCGGAAGTGGCTTTGGGTCACGAGGATCCGCAGAGGAGGTGAGTGAGTCATGCGCGCGCGCGCGCGCGCGGACCGGAGAGCTGGAGGGGGGAGGGGAGGAAAGGGGGGCGGGGATGATGCAATGTTTGGCAACCAGTGTCTGCGCGCGCAAGCGCAGGGGACTACGAGGGTAGTGGGAGGTGCGGGGGGTGGGGGGTAGAGGAGAGAAGGCGGGGCACCAGCTCCCTGCACCCAACGGCCCCAACGGCTATCAACCTTGGCTGTCTCATAGGCTGATGAAAGAAACCTCACTGTACCTTGCCTACCTCAGGAGCTATTGGCCCGCCCCCCCCCCCGCCGGCATTAGACCCCGTTTTACCTCCTCCTTAAAGGTCCCGTTTTTGCTTGGCCCCTTCCTAGCTAATAATGGGCACAAAGTCTTATAAACCTCCCTGCTTTGAAAGTTTGCATCCATCCGCCAAGATTTTCTACACCTCGAGTTTTCTTAAAGGGGTCTCATCATTTAGTCTCCTAACTACCTAAAAAGGGACTGAGGTACTTGAATCCCTTTGGTAGTCATTTTCAGCTCCTTTCAGAAGAGCACCCTTAACTTGTATGAGCCCTTAGCATGCCAGAACTCAGGTTCTTTGCCTGAGGAGGCCTGATTCTGTTGCCCCACTCATCTCCCCTCATGTTGCTCTAGTGCCCTTCACCAAAGACCAAAACCCACCCTTTTCACTGAACCAGGCAGTAAGTCCTGTGACTTCCTGATCTGAGGGGGTGGGCATAGGCCTCCTGCCTCCTAGGTGTTTGGTCCACAGTAGAGCCTAGTTGCGTGCACTTTAGCGCACGTCGGCCTTGAGGTTGCTAGGAAATGTCAGATTCTAGCTTCAGCTGCCCCTCACTTGCCCAGGAATCCCAGTCCAGTCACCTAATCTCTCTGTGCCTCACTGTTCTTGTTTGTAAATAAAAAATGAGTTGTGAAAGTAAAAAGAGGGGACTATGAACTTTGAGGCAGCTTGAACGAGAGTGAAAAGCACCATGCAATACGCAAAATATTTTTTTTTAGGTAGAAAACAGAGGCCATGTGGTGGCCTGTTACAGATCCTGTCGTACTTGCATGGGACAGCCAGAGTTTGTGTAAGTGGAAACTGTCAGAATGCTGGTGTAGCTGAATGGCTGGTATAGGTGGTGATCTGACAGTGACAGGTCCTTGGTCAGGCGTGCTCCATTGCTCCAGACCTCCATTTCTCCTCAGTAAATGGGGCTGGCAGTGGGTTGGACCAAATGCACTCTCCTGGTTCAAAGACATGACCAGATTGTCAGTGACAGGCAGAGGTCATGTGACTTGACCGGCCGAGGTCGTGTTGTGACATGTTGACCTGGGGAGGTGGGTCAAGTCCCACCCAGTACAGAACTCGGGAAGCCTTTGGGGCAGGGCAGGGCAAGCCGCGACTTT